GGGAGGGAGGGAGGGAGGAACGGAGGGATGTAGGGAGGGACGGAAGGAGGGAAGGGGCATAGACGGAAGAAAGGGGAAAGAGGAAGAAAGAAGGGAGAGAGGACAGGAGGGGGGGAGGGAAGGAAGGAAGGAAGGGGGAGGGAGGAAGGGAGGAAGGGAGGGAATGAGGGGTGAGGGGAAAGAGGAAGGGACGGATGAAAAAAGTGTCGTTTGTCTTGATTAACATGATCATTCACTCTCTGAACCGTCAGTATGCCAGCCACTCTGTTTCAATAGCGAGATGAGTTGGGATTACGAACAAATGAAGGAAACGACTCATATGTAGCACATTATCACTTTGTTCACAGAGATACAGAACCTGACTCACAATGAGCGAACAACCATTGGCAGTCTACTGCCGTAATGGCAAGCGGGTTCCAAGAGAAACACTACACCTGTACAGTATTTCAAGAGCTGAGAAAGAAATTACATAAGCCATTGGCCGCCTCCCCCCTCCCCGCTCCTTTACAACATGAATGGATGAATGTCACCCACTAGAAGAAGGCACATAAAGCCCCCCTGCTGCACGAAGGTCGCCCACTAGCAGAATCCCTGCAGGGATCCGATCGCCGGCCTTCTCTCGATACGTCACAAGCTTTAGGATAAACTTTTTTCTTCAGAGTTCTGCGGCAATTCCAACCCGCTCACATTCACCTTCTGCGCATCCTGTCATAGCCCGTCTCAATGCGTCACATAACAAACCCCGCACGGATCACTCTTGCCCTCTTTCTTGTGTCATGGCATGGCTCATGTATACGTGGATATTCAAAAACTACTCCCATTGCTGCTCTCACAGGAGCTCAAGCACGGCTTCAAGTGCTTCTTGCCATATGCGAAGTCTGTATATTCAATAAGTACTTGCAAGCTTGCTTCTGAAAATTGGCATCATGATCAGTAACACATTCAGCCACCCACCAGAAAGCAAGGCGACCACTGAGCAGGCTAGCCAACAGAAATTCTGCGATTTTGGGTAAACAAACACCCGCCGGTTGGGGGGGGAGGGGGGGGGGAGGGGAGGACAACACTTGCTTCTGCCGAAAAACAGCAAGACAAGGCCTAAGACCTTGGAGACATGGAAAGAACTTGTTTAAAAAAAAAAAAAAAACCTTAAAAATATATACTGATTGGCTTTATGGGTATAGGCAGCATGGGCCAACATTCATTTAGCCATCTTAAAAAGCAGAGCAAGCAGAGCAAATAAGTGAAATCAACAGCCAAAGCTGCAGGTGAATACTGCTGAAGACAAAAGAAAACTGGTGCACCAGAGGAGCAGTAGTTCCGCTGCATAGTCCACAGACGCCCAACGACATTTGTCTAATGCCAACACACACGAACGCCGAGAGTTGTGAATCTCTGTGGCGCCACTGTTGGCAAGCAGAACTCGTTCCACGTATCAAATTACCTGAGTCTGGCCACCCTAGAAACTACACAAACTCCCAAGGACGCTAACTACGCCAATTGTGATGCGATGGAATAATGCAAGCAAGCCTCTGCGCGCAAATAACACTCAAGGTGCCCCCTCAATCAGGCAAAAGAAGGGGAGTGGAGGGTGCGAGTTATGCAGCCATAAGTCAGTCGGGACCTTTCCCCTCCGTCCTCAACGGGCCTCTGCGCGCCCCTGAATTTAACCAGAGCTTGGGACCTTTCCCCTTCATCCTCAGCGGGCCTCTGTGGGCCTCTGAATTTAACCAAGGTGCCCCTTCCATCAGGCACAAGAAGGGGACCAAAGGGTGGGAGTTTTAGTTCATGTTTGAAAGAATGTCAGTCTACTGGAGCGGAAACAAATCTTGAACCTACATTGCTTGCAACCTTTCCCCTTCGTCCTCAGCAGGTCTCTGCACACCTCTGAATTTAACCAGGCGCAGTCCTTCCCGCACCAGATTTGTCCATATACGGTGCACCTTTCTCGAGTACTGGTGGGCAGGATCTCTCGCACATACCAAATCATATCAGCCTAAATGAAAACTCTCAAGGATATACTAACTAGGCCTAAGTAAACTCTCAACAAGGAGACCAACAGGCCAACTAGGCTCTGACGGGACAAGCATGAAGAACATTCAAGGTGCCCCTTTTTTTTATAAGGCAGAAGAAGGGACAGCAGGAGTGGCAGTTGTGTGCTCGCAAGGGAGTAGTAATTCCAAAGCAGTTCATGCTGGTCGGTCACACCTAATGAGGCACTGATGGAACGAACACAAAGAATGCTCAACACCCCTTCACACAGGCACAACAAATGGATCAGGTGGCGTAGGGAAGCCTGCATACTCATCTTATGCTGAGTCCGAAGCAGTTCATGCTAGGACATCATGGAATCCAGTTTCCTTCTAGTTCCATCTGGATTCGAACTCAGGTCTGTATTTCCAAAGTTTCATGGCTGTACCAACAAAGCTGGGCCTGTTGCTCTCCTTTCTCCACAAAGAGGTAATGAAGGGCGGCAACATCCGCTCGGTCAATTGCTGCAACACGTCCCCGAGTTTACAGCAGTAGCGCATTCAGAGCAACAATCCACCCACCACGCACGCTACAGCATTGCGGCCAAACCTCTCCGCTGATATGAACTTTCTCGCTTCAGTCCTTTGCTCCCATGGCCATCAGATACTGTCACACATACTGAGGACAGACTGGTTACCCAATCCAGTGCCGGCTTGAACAACCGAAGCTCCATCCTCTCTCTTCTTGCCTTGGTCGAACCAAGAAGCAGGATTGCAATTCACGACCATGCACCAGGAGGTGAGAGGACTGGGGGAGGCAGAGGAGGGCGAGGGGGGAGACATGCACCAGGATGGTGAGTGGGAGGGAAGGGGACTCGTAACTGCAGCAACACGCACGCTCATCGCTTGTAGCCCACATAGTACTGCCCATGAGGAAGTTGCGCCTGAAGAGCATAAAACTGTGAGGACCGCATACTCGAACTCCATAAAGGATGCACCAACCCGTCCCGCAAGTCTCCATCCCTCCAGGGTTCCACACATAGCCCTACGATTCGCTACTGCCATCACCGCTCCTGCTTGTTGGGGAGTTAAAAGTATATGGCATTGACATTTTGACAACCATCTTACCAGTAAACGGCAGTGCCATAGCTGCAGAAATGTGAACAAGCAAGACACACACCTACAATTAACTAGTGCCACCACCACTCCTGCTTGTTGAGGAGTTTACGTACATGGAATCGACAGCCATCTTACCCGTCATTGGCAGTGCCGCAGCTGAAGGGACATCAGCAAGCGACAGACGCATCCCGGGTTATTAATTCTCTCTACATTCCAGCTGGGTATCCATCTGTACACAATTCTGCAGAGAACCAGCGTAAAATGAAAAGCAAACACAGGCAACCAGACACCAAGACCAGGTTCCTAGCGCCCACGCTGAAAATCAACGCGGGTTCGACTCGAACCTCCTTCGTAGGTTTCCCTTGTGCCGGCACCTCCACCGGCCCTCAATGCCCCAGTTGTTCCTATCTTGTCCAGAGCTTTCTTCCCCTTCTTCACTTCAACCAAGAACTGATCAAGACCGAACGGATCTGCCTCTTCCACATTGCGTTCGAATTCCACAGGCTGCTCCCTGGCTCCAGTCATCTCCCGTGCCCCAGCAAAGCCCTTGTCTGGCCTGAACCTGTCTGTTTTCAAGGCTGTTTCAAGCTGTTCACCGCCATACGCTTCACCGTCCGCGTCCTTGTTAGGCCTGTAGAGGCCACCTGCACTAGGATGAGCTCTAGCAAACAGCCCTTTGTCATACACATTGTATTGGTCGTCTGTTGCGAAGCCTGAGTCCATGCCCTGGTCTTGATTGAAAAGCCTCTGGTCGTACTCGACCTGCCCACCATTCCCCACTGCCACCTGTCCAAGCGCCACTTTCTCGCTGATATCGCGGTCACGATCACGTGTGATCTTGCTTCTCTTGCCACCTTCTTTTGCCTCCTGCCGCCTCTCCCTCTCCCTTTCGCGTTTCCTCTCCTCTCGAAGAGAATCTCTGCGAATCCGTTCCTCCCTCTCCTCTTTCGTCTCCATTCCCCTGTCTCGCGCATCCATCTCCATCATCATGCCACCACCTCTCGACAGCCCAGATTGCCCATCGGCCACGGTTGTAGTAGGCCCAACCTCCCTGCCAGACATCATGGCCCCCGATCCGCCAAATGCTGCAGCAGCAGCAGCAGCAGCTGCACCTGCACCTGCAGCAGGCCCGCCACCACCCGCTCCTCCTGCTCGCTCCAAACGCGCCCTCTCCGCAAGCTGCCTGAGCTGCTGCTCCTTCTTCTCCTTGTCCTTCAACATAATATCTCTCTGAATCTTCGATCGCATCTCCACAGCCTCTCTGGCCTTCTGTTCCGCCACATACAACGCTTCGGACAGCTTCGCAAAGTTGTCGTTGATCTGCACCTCCTGAAGACCCCGACCATCCGCTGCAAGCCTCTTATCCAAAGGGATTGTATACCCCTTGGGATTTTTCCAATTGGAAATACAAGGAGGAATCTTCCAATCCTGCTGGTCCTTGACTGTAACAGGCCTAGGAGGGGAGTGCATGACTGGCACAGGTGGGGAGCCCGACGCTTTCGGAACGCGCTTGTGCTTGAACTTTGGCGGTTCGAGTGGATCTTTCGGCATCTCTACGAGCCGAATAATCCGCTCCTTCGCACCGGAATTGAACGCAGCACCTTGCTGAGAGGGCGTATACTTGATATAGGTCGGCGCTCCAGGTATGCCCACGGGATGACTGGGCTGTGCAGCGCTTATCTTCGCATTCACAAGCTTCTCCAGAGCGAGCTTTGTGCGCTGGGTCGTCTCTGACACCACCTCCGCATCAGGGCGCTGCAGATCTTCATCCGTCTGGTCTTGTATCTTCGGAACAAGGTCCGAATGCTGCGTGAAGACCGTCTTCACAGCATTCTCATTCTGACGGACAATCGCATCATACCGTATGTTACCTTCGCCATCCATAGTCAGAGGCAACACTCTGTTTGAACCTTTGGTCAGCTCAACAACACCAGCACTGGTGCCTCTTCCTCTCGCAAGCACTCCTCCATCCTGCCCACCCCCTGATGCCGGTTGCCGCATGGCCAACACCATGGAGCGGACATCACGGTCCCTTGAAGGGAGAAGAAACGGATCGATTGCGCCGGCAGAGGGGCCATGATGATGCTGGGGGGCAGGAAGAGTGCTCAGCAGACGGCTGCCCGACATGGTTCTTTACCTTCTCAATCTTTCCCGTCCTGTTGCACTGACGCTGGGCTCACGATTGTGATTGCCTTCTTCTCGTATTCCCTACACAAAGCAAACAGCAGGGCACCATGGTCAGAAAAAAGGTCATCTCTGTTGTCATAACCACAAAGGCTGCCCTTATTGCCAGAATGCCTCACTGCTTTGATTGGCTTATTTGCATCCCTGCATCTGTCACTGTCAGAATGCACCTGGACCGATGCTCGACCTGGTGCAGGCACGCAAATGGCCATCCCTGCATTCCAACAAAGAAATTTGAGCAAACCACATGAAGCACACAGGAAGCATGCATGTGGACCACACATACCACATTGGTGCAGCGCATCTGGTCCAACAAGCCAACGACCCAGAAACAAAATTCTTATTGCAATTTGAAGCGTTTTTCACTGGTTTCTTTTTCGCTTCTGTTTTTTTCCTGTTTTTTTGCACTTCTGTACACCCCCACGACCCTCTGCCTTTTTCACAAAAAATATCTCCAAAGGTTTGTCCTTAATAGAATTGAATCCTCATTTAGTTTCAAAAGAGCTGCCACACCATCAGATCAAGCCAGTGAAGTGCTTTACCTCGTATCGATGCTATTTATTTAACTTCACAGGATCCCTGTGGGCATACTCACATTGGGACTTTTTCACTTCCTATGGACGTAATTGCAGTCAGATACATGCAGGTCCGACCGTAAATGCTATCAAATACACTCAAGATTGAGTATAGCCTAGGATTTATGCCATTAGAAAAAGAGAGACAATCCACTACGCCTGGCCGGGCATACGTGCAGCCTGCAAGCCTGGCTGGCTGCCTCAGGCACCCCGAGAAGGTTAAAAAAAGGTGGTTCTTCTTTTCTTTCCTTTCGGTTTTGGATCTCCAATGTATCTCACACTCATGACAAGCTTCCACAACACGATCATGCAAGCAGTCTTAATGCGCTCAAGATGGGACTAATCCCTTCGCAGAATTGGGCATGAGGCACTCAGTGAAGTCCAGAATAAGCAACGAGTAACCCAAAGCGAGATAAAGGTAGAGAAGCAGTAGAGAGAAGTCTAGAATAAGCTCAAGGAACTGCAGCCTACTAGTAGGGAGTAGGCGGTCTTCCCATAGCTTTCCGTGAGGCTATAGTTGCATTAGTAATCAATCTAGCACAGTTGAAACCCCTAAACAACAACAACAACAAAAATACGCGCTCTTTAAGTTCCTTGAGCTTCCTTCCCATTCAACTTCAGGTCCTTCTCCCACCACTCACCACCTCACCATGCAATCTCACTCCCTTACGGCACTTCTGCAGGTGCCAGATATGGCGCCCAACATCCAGGAGCGAAGCTTGGATATGGAGGTTGGCGCCTGGTTGGCGCCTGTGTGCCTTCAGCGTCGTGATGTGAACAGTAGCTCCAGGATCACCAGCTCCAACAGGTAAGTCACGGTAGGCTTCCTTCCTTCCAAACACTCTCTTTCTCTCACCCTCTTCCTTGCCCTACCCCTAACATTACGGTTATAGTGCTTCAGCACCCTCGCTAACTATGGCTACTATCTTCTTCCTATCCTTGGGCTTGCGCTGTCTTCTTCCCTATGGCGCGAGCCTCCTGCTTCCACCTCTGCCGCTCAGCAGCACTCTGCCCACCAACGAGTGCAAGGCAGAATGAGTCAGCCTCTGGGGCAGGCATCTCTTTTGTAGAGTCGACTGCACTTGGCCCGCGTCACTCTCCCTCCTCGAACGGTGGAGATTTCTCGATCCGGACGGCCCAGATTTTCTGTTGGCCCACATGTGCCTGAACCTGGTGGGTCCTGGTGCCTCAGATCTGTGACCGTGGTCGACTCCTGACAGATCTCTGACTCTTGACTTACTCCCGAGTTGGGCCTGATCGCTGATTCTCCCACAGTCAACTAAGAACTCGCCTGGGGGCACAGGCCGCCCCTTTTGGGCCAAGACCCCACACTTGTCCACAAAAGGACTCTCCTCAGACCCTTGCAGGACACGAGGCGTGACTTTTGACCCTGATCCTGGACTTGGACAAAAAGCTATGACCCTGGACTGTGTGCGTGCGGATTTTGAACCGAGTTCGTTGCAGGTGGTCGGAGGTAAGAGATGGAGATAGCAGGAGAGAGAAGGGAGATGAAGCAAAGAGGGTAGAGAAGGCGGGAGGGAGGAAGCAGCCAAGGTCATCCCGGGACTCATCGGGGAGGCACGTCCAGTCCAGCGCACATGCAGGTCCTGAGGCCCAGCACACCCAGGAAAACACCCCAGATTGTTGGAGTCACATCTGCTCTCGATAAAATGATGCTCATACACTCTTCCTCGCACCAAACAGGTAAATCACGCATGCCTGAAAGTCTACGAAACACCCTCAGCGGCCGACAAGCGCAAGCGATCCGCGGACGCGGCCGAGTCCGCCACCCCCACAGACGCGTGGCGGCCGGTGGGGAGGGGGGTTGGGATTTGGAAAGCGCCATGGGGCGGCGGCATCCCCAGCCCCACCCCTGTCTCTTATACACATCTAGATGTGTATAAGAGACAGCATATATGTGAGGGTATCATAAATCAATACAATGTTGAAGTATCAAAACACAAAACCTGCAAAAAAAAAAAAAAAAAAAAACACAAATATATGTGAGGTTGTCAGAGATGAATACAATGTTGAAGTATCAAAAAACAAAACTTGCATAGCTCTATCCTCATAACTCACTACGCAAAGAATGTCGATCACATGCCAGCTTATCAGGTTGGTCATCATTGTGGACCATTATGCATGTTTCTTAGGATTCTGCAGCCGATATTGTTTGTCTGCCATGGGTAGGCAATATTGCAAGATTTGCTCTTATCATGGTTGTTAGAGACTTCATCACCAAGAGTAAAAGTAGTAGGGCGATTAGGCACCCACGCCCTACCCTTGCTTGACAGAGCAGTGGAGCACAAAAGGGGAAGAAAGATGCTTATTCACCCTTATGCTGCTTGCTACGAATCTGTGCATAATAGATACCCAGCCGACCTTGCTTGCCTATCATAGATAGGCGATATTGCGAGATTTGCTCCTATCATGGATGCCAGAGACTCCATCACCAAGAGAAAAAAGTAGCAGGGCGATTAGTCCCCCAAGTCGCCCCCTTGCTTTACAAAGCAGTGGAGCACAAAAGGGGGAGAAAGATGCCTATTCACCATCATATGTTGCTCGTCGCGGATCTGTGCATAATGGATACCCAACCGACATTGCGGGTCTAGCAGTTGATAATGCTTATCTATCATAGATAGGTGATATTGCAGGATTTGTTTTTATCATGGTTGTTAGAAACTCCATTATCAAGAGGAAAAGTAGTAGGGCAATTAGGCCCTCACCGCCCCCTGGCCTGACAAAGTAGCAGGCATAAAACTTGAAGGGAGAGAAAGGTGTCTATTCACCATTATGTTGGTCATCGCGGATCTTTGCGTAATGGATACCCAAGCCGTACTTCATGGTTTCATTCACTAATAGTACATTGTCGAATTTGTCATGCATGTTTCTTTGTGGCGCACAAAACCCGTTTGATCTTAATGAATAACGTTGTCAAGGTATGGTGGTAGTCTGTCGGTGTAAGGGTTTTAGACACGCTATTTTTCGCAGCACAAGTAGCAACAATATAGTTTATTAGTTCTATATTTATTTAGTTCTTTTACTTTTTAAGCGTGATGACTTTGATTTATAAACATTGAATTGATCGGCCTTAGGTAACTCTGAATTGTTTTCTTATGTTCAACTTGATTGCATTTGGATTTGAACTGGATCTGTATTTTAACAATTCATGGGTGCACCGACTGAGCTAGGCACAATGGTATAGGTCTATAATCTCCAATATTTCTCGTTTCGCCCTTCTTATACAGCAGTGTTGTTACCCCGTAGCTCACCACTCTCCCAAAAGACCACCGTATGTCTTATATCCATGAATGTATTCGATGAAGTTGCCTTTCAACACATCCCGAAATTGCAGTTAAATTTATTTATGGATTGAGTCAAGGTATGCAGTATTCTCAACTTCCATACTTTTGAGTGCTGTCAATTCTTCTTCCATGGATAGAGCTCCATCTCACTCAGTTTGCAGGATGTACTATCCAAAACCCGAGGAATTATATAAAGAAACGCAAAGAAGCTCACCAACACTTTGACTATGTTTGGGTTACAGCAGTTCCGTATGTTGAGGAGAGAGCACGAGTGCTTCAAGGGAATACAAAGTTGATTCATAGCTTTGGTCCTAAGCTATACTCGGACTATCTTAGACCTCCGGTCGCTTGTCACCTCATCGATGGTTCTTATTGGGGTGAATTGGTTGACCTAGCCAAGAGGTATGTCTCTCCGACAAAGATTAACTATGAGGCAGTGACTGGACCATCATAGTTCCAACATCTTAGACGATGGGTCTTTTTCAGGTCATATCTTCCTACTCTATGAGAGAAGTTTTGTGCTATGCTTGACTTTTGAATCTTTGGCCTTTGATGGATGTATTCGAAACTAATGGGTTTTAGGTGGCTCTATATTACTAGACCACAATCTCATGAGGTATATAGACGTGGCTCAAGGCACACGAGACGCAAAGTCAAATGAGAGAGTAAGGGTGAGACTTGAGGGGGATAGTGAGGACTCTTGACAAATGTTGACCATGTCTTTTCATCCGTACTTCCTTAGATTTTTATAACTTCTCACTTTTCCTCATTCATCTTGTCTTTGCCTTAAGTCGGTTAATGTTGATTCGTTTTCACTAACATTGCTTGAGATAATGCTCTCTCTTGATCTCGTGGCATACTAAATTTTATAATTTATGATTTGTATGATCATTGTTGTTCCGAATTATAATAAAAGATTCCTAAGACCGGGGACAGACATAGACCGTAATTGAAGGGTCTTGCTCGAAGTCGGACGCACATAACAAGAAGGGATTTGCATTAATTTATTTACTTATTTATTACAAAATTACATTAAAAATCTTGCGTGAAAGTTTGCTGTTTTTTTTATCACCAAGAGTGTCAACGGTGCATTTGCTATAATATGCAGTGCTAAAAACCCGGTAGGACCGGGGGGTCCTCCCCCAACCGGAACCGGACCGGTCCTACCGGCCAGTCGACCGGGCCGGTTCCCCCCCGGTTGGCTGTAGCGCAT